ACACACACACACACACGAAATGCACACATACACTAACACACACACAACGCACACATGCACTAACACACACAAATCAGAGAATCATCCTGCCCGGAATGTCAAAATGTCAAAAATGCATACAGAAATTAGGGTAGAGAGCTGGTTCAGCATTTAAGAGCACTGGCTGCACCCACATGGCAGGCCACTGTACCCTCAGGCCCAGGGTTCCACGGGCCTCTTGATTTCCACCAGGTATACATGTGATGCATAGATATGCATGCAAGCAAAATACCCATACACATAAAATAAGAAAACAAACCTCCTCCTCCTTCTCCAGGGCATTGGATCTGCTCTGTCTCACATGTAAACATGTCCCATTGGAGACGCTGACATGATAGGTTCCCCTGCAAAGAGACATCTAGACAGGTCTGGAGTCCTAGGGGAAGCTTGGCTGCACTTCAAAGTGAGTAGTGCCACCTAGTGGAAGTAGAGTGAACTACGCCAGCAGGGACACTACCAAGAACTGGTAGTTGGTTGCCTTTTGCTTTTGAGCAATGGGCTGTTCACTCACCTTTGTCTGTAGGGAGGAAGCCAACCGCTAGGCGTTGTTGGGGGTGGTGGTAAAGGGAGAGGTGTTGTTGTAGATTTATCTCTGTTGCTGTGATAAGAAGCCCCTATGACTGACAATTTAGGGGAGGAATGGGTTATTTTGGTGTATAAATTTGCTTATTAAAAAAAATAATTTGAGACAGGGTCTCACTATGCAGCTCTGGCTGTCCTGAAACTCACTACGTAGATCAGGCTGACCCTGAACTCACAGAGATCCATCTACTTCTGCTTCCCAAGGGCTGGGATTAAAGGCGCACTCCACCATGCCTGACTATTTTGGTTTACATTTCAAGTTACCACCCATCATTTGAACGGATGTCAAGGCAGGAACTTAGTCACATCACGTGAACTTGCTCTCATCTGGCTTTCTCCTGTCTTATGTGGTCCAGGATCCCCTGCCTAGGGAACGGTGCCTCCCACAATGGGCTGGGTCCTTCCTACATCAGTTAACAGTCAAGACAGTCCATCACAGACATGACTACAGGCCAGCCTGCTCTAGGCAATCTTTCACTGGCTTTCTCACTAGGTGACTGCAGCTTGTGGAGATAAACCTCACAGCTTTGCAGGAGAGGAGATAGAAGATCCCTGTAGTTAGAGGCTGCGGCTGACTCCCGGGAAACTGAGTCCTCCAGACACAGCAAGAATGATGCACACAGGAGCGCAACGAGACAGCACACACAGGACCCACACATTCAAACCACACAAATCTGCAGCACTCAGGAGGGGAGTGGGCCCTGTACGGGCTCAGGCACTACGCTGCCCTGGTCAAGTGGCAGAATGAGTGTGCTCAGTCAGTGCCCAGGGTTCCAAGGCTCTTAGTCTGCACGCAGGTGCTAAGGACCACTTTAAAGGAAAGACCCCTGCCCCCTTAGACTCTCTTTCCTGCCGTTCCCCTAGGGCAGACAGGACTTTTCCTGTCTCCCTTTTCTGTCCCCTCTCTGGGTCTCTTTACCTCTTTTCTCTTTCCTTTTCCCTTCCCTCCCCTTTCTAATAAAACAGCTCTGCCTGGCATGTTTGTCCCTCCTCCTCACCTGCCATGGAACTCACCAAGGCACCCACAAGCTTTATCTTAACAGACACTAAGTCCCATCTCTAACCAAGAAGCTATTTGCAACTGATACCTACTGGGAAAGGGAAGATCAGGGTTTTGTGTTTGTTTTTTTGTTTTGTTTTGTTTGTTTATTTTGTTTTTCGAGATAGGGTTTCTCTGTGTAGCTTTGGAGCCTGTCCTGGGACTTGCTCTGTAGACCAGGCTGACCTCGAACTCACTGAGATGCGCCTGCCTCTGTCTCTCGAGTGCTGGGATTAAAATCATCAGCCACCACTGCCCGGTGTCTGTTTGATTTTCATTTTTTCTTTCTTTTTTTCTTTTTGAGAGAGAGCAGGATGAGTTGGGGGGGTGAAGTTGTGTGGGTAGGGAGGTGGGGAGGATCTGGGTGAGTTGGGGGAGAGGAAAGATTATGATAAAAATATATTGTATAAAAAAGTTTTTAGACATTTATTTTATGTATATGGTGTTCCATCTACATATAGAGCCTACAGGCCAGAATCATTTTCCCACTACAGATGGCCTTGAGCCGTGTGGTTGCTGGGAACTGAGCTCAGCACCTCTGGAAGAATTGCCCATGTTCCTAACCATTGAGCCGTCTCCCCAGCCCCTCCCCCAGCCCCAGTTTCTAAATTAAAAACTTTAAAAACAAAAATCATGGGCATGCTATGAGCTGGTTCTGAGTTGGATGCAGGGAGAGACCAGGGCAGCTGGCAATCTTAACAAGGTGAGCTTTCCTTGTAAGCCTGTAGCTGTCGCAGGGGTCGGCCAGAGTTCCACTGTGAGACATGGTCTGGGAAACTGTAGTGAGATAGTCCTTCTGTGGCACTGACCACGCCCATTGGGGGTGGAGCCATGGGCGGAAGTGACCTGGGGAAGGAGGTCTGGAGTGGGCCAGGAAAGGCGCTCTCTTTCTGGGGTCACGAACTGCACTTACGAGTTTCTCTCCTTAATCCTCCCCTTCTACAATTACACGTTCTCCTGATGGTTATGATACACACTAGGGTTTGAGACAGATGTCATAGGTAAACTTCTAGGAGGCCACAAAGGTGCCCACTCCCATGCCTTAGGCCCAGCACTTGGGAGACTGAGGAGGAATGGTTGCCTCAAGTTCAAGGCCATCTTGGCTCTATAGTGAGATCCAGACCAGCCTGGGTTATGGAGTAAGACTTTGTAACAGGGATAGTACTGCGAGATCTCCCACAATGCATCTTCCATGCCCGTTGTGTAACTCAGCAGAAACAGAACTACTTGCACTTTTATTTTAGATGATAAAAATGATGATGTTTGCTAATTAGGTATGGGGCTAAGCTTAGCACATACATATAGCTTGCCTTTTTTTTAAACCTCCTCCCCCCTCCAGACATGGTTTCTCTGGAGCTTTGGAGCCTGACCTGGAATTTACTCTGTAGACCAGGCTGGCTTCAAAATCACAGAGATCCACCCATCTTTGTCTCCTGAGTGCTAGGATTAAAGGCATGCACCGCTGCCACCACACAGCTAAAAAACTTTTTTGTTTGTTTTTTGAGACAGGGTTTTTCTGTATAATAACTCTGGCTGTCCTAGAACTCCCTTAGTAGACCAGGCTGGCCTTGAACTCACAGAGATCCACCTGCCTCTGCCTCCTGAGTGCTGGGATTAAAGGCATGCGCCACCACCGGACAACTCAGCTTGCTTTTTTTTTTTTTTTAAAAAAGAACTATTAGTTTATTTATGTGTATGGGTGTGTTGCCTGTATTCACAACTATGCATCACTCCCAGAGGTCAGTAGAGGATTTCCGGCCCCCTGGAGCTGGAGTTACACACAGTTGTGGGCAGCCCTGTGGGTGCTGGGAACTAATGTTCTTAACTGGTGAACTTTCCAGCAACCCCTGTCCCTTTTTGAGACAGGGTTTTACCATGTAGCCCTGACTAGCCTGGAGATCCCCATGTAGAACAGGCTGGCATCGAACTCTAATTCCTGCCTGCCTCTAACTCCTGCGTGCTGGGCTCCTATGTCTAGCCTCCTCCTCTCCTTCCTCTTCTTCTTCTTTTCATTTTAAGATTTTAAGATTTAGGTGAGGGGCTGGAGTGATGGCTCAGTGGGTAAGGACACTAAATTGCTCTTCCTCGGGTCCTGAGTTCAATTCCCACCAACCACATGGTGTCTCACAACCATCTGGCGCCCTCTTCTGGCCTGCAGGGACACATGCAGACTGAACACTGTGTATATATAATAAACCAATTTTTAACAACAAAAAATGTACGTGGTGTGTGTGTTTGTGCCCTCAGAAGCCAGGCGTGGGCGTTAGCTTGCCTGGAGTTGGAGTTACAGGGTTTTGAGAGTTGTTAGATGTGGGTATTGGGAACTGAACTCAGGCCCTCTGAAAGAACAATACACACTTTTCACTGCGTTATAGCTCCACCCCCCCACCTCTCCCACACCAAACCCCAGGGCTGTCTGACCGTCCTCTGGCTATTCAAGATTAAACACGCACGTACACACACATCAAAAGTCTTCCCTACTTTGGAGCTTTTTAAAATTTGGCCACTCTCCCTAGACCCCTATTCTACTCCACGGTACCCAACCTGCTCCTCATTGCTTCCACGGCCCTTGCTACATTTACTTTGATCACATTTATCTTACACGTGAGGGACACGACTTAAATAAACCGGGAGCCCCTTCCACCGTGTGGGTTCCACGGATCGAACTCAGTTGTCAGGCTTGACAGCAAGCACCGTTGGCCACCGAGGTATCTCACAGGGACGCGTGCCCGTGTAGGCTCCCCCTCCCCTCCCTGGAATTGGCCCAATGTGTCCTCCACCCAGAGTTCACAGTGATACCTAGCTGAATACAGATTATGATGGCCCAATAAATATTGGATTCAACTCGAGAGCGGGTGACGGGGTTCAGTAAGTACTAGTGAAATGTATACGCCATTCCCTAAGGTCTGAGCACCACGTCTAAGTCAGCCTAGCCCGGGATTCAAGAACCCGGGATGCACGCGAGCGGCTGAAGAGCCCGCAGGAGCCCCTGCAACCCATCGCGCGGTTTCCCACTTGCAGGCTTCTCACCACGGGAAAGCAGAGGTCGGGAGGCAAAAGCGGGTCTCAGAGGGTGCGACTGCGTTTTGCGTTAAATCCCTGCGGGGGCCCCGCGCGTCCCGGCCCGGGTTCGCGTCGCGGTCCCTTTAAGGAGCGTGTCCGGGGCGGAGAGGGCGGACGCAGGTGCCGGAAGCGGCGGGCGGCGGCGCGCTCTCCCGGGCTGGGGCCCCGGCTGCGGCTCGGGCTCGGCGCTGGCCCCGGAGCGGTTGGGTGCGCGGCCCGTGCGCCTGGGCCCCGCCGCCCGCTGCAGGCCGGCCACGGGTCCGGTCTCCACCGCCGGCGCCCTGCGACCTGGAGCCGGACGAGCCTGCGCGTGCTGACCGCACCGCACCCCGCTTAGGCGGCCGCCCACCCCCGCCTCGCCCGGAGCATCTCCGCGAATGGCTGGTCCTTAGGCAGAGCGCAAGCAGCCGAAGCCGGGCGCCGCGGAGCAAGCAGCCGAGGCCGGGCGCCGCGGAGGATGGCGACCCTCTGGCGCCTGTCCCTCCGGGTCTGCTTGCCACACTTCAGGTGCTTTGAGCTCAGGGAGGAACTCGGCCTTGCCAGGCCGCTGCGATGCTCTCGCAGTGCCAGACTATGCTGGTTTCTGCTGGGTACTCTGCCCAGATGTGTCTCAGCCCACGGGGATGCTGGAGAGGGGGCGCCTGGCAGCAGCTTGTGCCGGAGAAAGAGCCGCTGGAGCGACCTGGCTGACAACGGACGGGAGGGAGAGCCCCAAGCCGGGCCTCTGGGCCGCGTCTTCCTGGGCCTCCGCCTAGGGCTCCGCGCTGGCGTCCTCTTGGCCAAGTTCTTCCCCCTGCTCTTGTTGTACCCTCTCACCTACCTGGCTCCCGGCCTCTCCACCCTCTGGTTCCATCTGCTTTTGAAAGCCACGGAGACCTCAGGCCCAACATACATCAAATTGGGCCAATGGGCCAGCACCCGGCACGATCTCTTTTCAGAGGCTTTCTGTGCCCAGTTCTCCAAACTGCATGTCCAGGTGGCCCCCCACCCCTGGGCCCACACGGAGAGCTTACTCCAGCAGGCCTTTGGGGAGGATTGGGGCAGCCTCCTCTCTTTTGATACGCAGGAGCCTGTGGGCTCAGGTTGTGTGGCGCAAGTGTACAAAGCGTTCGCCAGCACTACCTTGCTGGAGAAGGACAGACTCTGGAGACTTGGGGGACCCTCTGTCCCACAGCTGTCCTCAGCAACCCAGGCAGTCCGGATGCAGAGAGCGCCCTTTGCGAAGGAGTGTAAGCCTTCGGAAAACCTTGCCGACGAAGCGTTTCTAGCAAAGCTGCTTTTCCCTAACCCCGTTAGATCAGAAGTGGGCACATCTCAGGTTCCTGGCCGTCCGCCTAAGTCAGACCACCTCATCCCCGTGGCAGTGAAGGTGAGTGCTCTCCGAAACCCAGTCTGGTGCGCCTTACCTTACATGTCCGTAATGAGCTGTGCTGGTGTAGGACCCAAGTGAGATGTGAAATGCATTGACATTGCATACAAACATACCCCTTATTCATGCGGGCTACAAGTGATTTCTTGCAATATCTTTAGTGAAACTTTGCTATGGCAAAAACCCGAGGTTAGGTTTGGAATTTTTCACTTGGATTAAGTCAGTCCTTAAAAAGTTTCAGATTTTGAAGCTTGTTGAGTTATGAATTAGGGCTGCTCACTCAACCTCAGCCAATGCCTGTTAAATGCAGGCTGTTTCATTTCTTTCTCTGTCTTTGTGTGTGTGTTAGTGAAGATCGAACTCAGGGTGGAATCTTCAGGTTTTGTTCACACATGCTAGGCCACTGAGCTATATTGTGCTGCTCTGCTCTTTTCCGATGGAGACGAGGCCTTGCTAAGAGACGAGGCCTTGCTAAGTTAGTTGCCCCAGACAGGTCTTGAACCCATGATTCTCCCCTTCCCAGGTAGAATAAGGGATCACAGGTGCTACTAGGCCTCCAGGCTCAAGTCCTCTCCCCCACCCTTTTGAGGTAGAGTCTTACTAAGTAACCCCCTTGGTGGTCCTGGATCTCTCTGTGGTAGACAGAAGAGATCTGCCTGCCTCTGCCTCCGGTGTGCTGGGATCCAGGGTGTGATCCTCCACAGCTCCGCCTGCTTTCATCCCTTGACTTTAGAGAGTTGTGGTATGAATAGTCCGAGGGAGGGGGAAACTATTTGGATTTTGCTACTTCTGGAGAAGAGGGGCCACCACCCAAGAGCATCGTGGGTATTGGGTTAGTTGGCTTTGTTTTGAGGGGAAGCACTCTGGTCCTTTTGAGGGTGGGAAATGCCGGTAGGGTAAAACGTTTTCTCCTGATTCCCTGTCTTGTCCGTGTTTCTTTCTGGCAGGTGTTACACCCTGGCCTGCTCACTCAGGTGTACATGGATTTACTGCTGATGAAGATGGGCAGCCACACCCTGGGGCTTCTCCCGGGAGTCAAATGGCTTAGCTTGCCTGAGATTGTGGAGGAATTTGAGAAGCTCATGGTCCAACAGGTGTGACTCCTTGTCTCAGTTGTAAATAGCACCTACCATAGTAGTTGCTTGTGAACAGGTAAATAGGTAGGTTATTTCCCAGTATGTCGTCCGGAACATGATCTGTTAGTCAGGGTGGGTAATGCTAGCCGAGGAGACAAAGAATGGCCCAGCGCCACACGGTCAGACTGCTTCCTGCTTATATTCAGGTGACCCCAGGGAAGAGGGACCTCTCCTTTGCAGTAGTTTTAGGACCCGTTCTTTACAAGATTGTCACTGCCGTTACACCTGAGAAACCAGAGCCTGTGCTGCCAGAGACCAGTGCATACAGACAAAAACTGGACCTTGACAGCTTTTGACTTTACATTTGTTTATTCTTGTGTGGGAACGTGGAGGTGGGTAGGCGTGTGCGCGTAGGTCAGAGGACGCTTCCGAGGAGTCGCTTCCCTCCACAGAGTGGGGCCTTGAGACTGGGATTAACCACAGCACCACATGTTTTCCACTGAGCCATTTCACTGGTCCAGAATGGAATAGTTAAGTTGCGCTTTGTTTAGAGAAGGCCGTAGGTTAGCTTCTTTAACAAAGGACCGGCCATACATGCTTTCTGCAGCTATCAGGCTTTATAGGTGGGCCGGGAGTGGGGAAACATTCTGGAATTCAGTCTAGCCCCTCTAGTCAGTCGGTTGGCTGTAGATTTGAGGCTCATGCTCTTCCTCATTCTCTGGGTATGTGAGCTGGGTGGTTCTAGAAACACCATCCATGTAGTGTCCACAGTTATCAACCTCATGCTTCCCCAGGGTCATCTGAGCAGAGTTGGGGAACACGGTATCTCATAGCAAGCAGATGACATGGGTACCTGTTACGCTGTGACTAACTGGACATAGAGATTCCTTTTTGCAATACAGATAGAATACAGGTATGTCTTGTGATACAGAATAAAAATGTCCTTATCCATCCCTCTTGACCCCTATTACCATCTCCAACATGGTCAGTGTGGAATGGAGCCTACGTGGAAGATGTAAGAGATTTTTATGGGCAGGCCAGGAAGTGGGAAGCATTTCTTCCAGCCTGCTAACCAGAACTCCATGGAACTCGGAGAGCTCTTAGGAAATGCAGTCTCCCTTTGTGCCTCAGGGCAAAATGAAACTAAATGGGCCACATTGACTCCCTCACCAGCAGAGGCTGACCTCCAGGGCGAGAAGACTCCTTATCTTTGTCCTGCTTTGTTTTTAGAGCTAATTGAGTAGATACATATCTCTTCCCTGCTGGGGACTCTTGAGGGCATTTGTGTAAGTAGCCAGACTTGGTAAACTTATGTTGAAGGTGCCTAAGTCTTCAAAAGTGTGCTGGCTCCCTACTGAGTGGCTTAGTTTTGGCCAGGGTTTCTGAAGCTATGTACCAAAACTTCATTTATATCTGCTGGTTGAAGATTTTTAAGTCCCAGAACCTCATTTTGATGTTTAGAAAGTATTTGGGTACCTAGCGTGGTGGCTTAGGCCTGTAATCCCAGCACTCAGGAGGTGGAGGCAGAGGGATGTCTGTAAGTTCAAGTCCAGCTGAATCCAAGTAAGTTCCAGGCAGCGAGGTCCTATTTCAAAAAACAAAAAACTGACAATTAAGAAAGTGTCTAGGCTGTTGAGATAACTAGAACATTAGTGAATTTTTACCAGGAGTTCCAAAGACTAAGCCTGGCGTCAAGAGAGATTCTGGTTCCTCGATGTCTTCCATGGTAGGAGGGGCTAGGGTCTCAGGCCTCTTGTATAAAGACAGTATAGAGTTGCAATTTCAGGACCTAATCACTCTGCAAAGTTCCACTTGGTTATCTATACCATTGTTGGCGGCTAGGATTCCAGGTAGGAATTTGTGGAGGACGGAGAGGTGTGTGTGTATGGAGGAGAGGCATGACATTCAGAGCTTGGCTTTCTGCCCTCGAATATTGCAAGTTTGGAGAAAAGGCAACTAAAACAGAAAATAGCTCCTAGTCTAACCACTGTCTTTTCATTTTGGCTTCACCTGCCTTCTGAGCTTCAGCTCCCATTAAAAGCCTGACAGGCAGACGTCAGGGTGGCCTGAAGCTCACACCCCCATATTTTACCCCTTTGCTATAACCGACCTCCCCAGGTAGCCCTGACTGACCGTTGCAGCACATTGCAGGCCAGGTGTGTGCGCCTAAGAGTCCGCGTCTGAGCGTTTGTGAAGTTACGTCACAGTTACTGCTCTCCCGGGGGGGGGGGGGTGGTGTCAGGCCGTATGGGATGGTAGAGGAAGGTAAACTGTGACCCACCTGGATGTCATTCTGAAGAGCAGGGATTCCAGGGCTGGAGAGCCGGCTCAGTGGTTAAGAGCACTGGCTGCTCTTGGAGAGGATCCACCCACAGGCGACCTGTGTAATTCCACCTTCTCTGTGGGCGGCAGGCATGCATGTGGTGAACTTACATATATGCACACAAAATACTTATACATACAAAATAAACGGCCTGGAGTTCACAGAGATCTACCTGTCTCTGCCTCCCAAGTGTTGGGACTAAAAGGTGTGTACCACCACCATCTGGAGATTTTTTTTTTTTTTTTTTTTTTAAGAGTGTGGACGGCAGGCACCATTCACCTGACATGGATATAATCAGACAGATTAGGAGAAAAGTTGGGGAATCTATTACCGTTAAAATGGGGTCAGGCATTCAGCTGTGCAGTTGCGCCAGCGCGTTGGGGGGCCACGGCCATGTGGGCATGGCTGTAACCCATTGATCATAGCGGAAAGAGAAGGCAAGGCAGCTTGGCTTATTGGGCGCTGGGGCACTAAAAGGAGCTATAAGGTCAGATGGGCATCCATTGGCTGCTGGGAAGGGGGCCCAGATCCTACCAGGGGATCCGATGTCTGCCTTAGTGGATGTTTCCGCCCTTTGGGCAGCTTCGAGCTAGCTGGTGTGTCTCCTCTGAGGTCCCTGGTGGCCGGGGACGCTGGTGAGGACAGAGGGAAGGGAACCTTGCTGACCGGGTCCCCTGGGTTCTTAGAGGTGCTCCCCATGCCCACACTGACTCCTCTTTCCTCTCCGTCTCTGCAGACAGACCTGCGTTATGAAGCGCGGAATCTAGAACACTTTCAGCACAACTTCGAGAACATGGCGTCTGTGAAGTTCCCTACCCCGCTGCACCCCCTCGTTTCTCGGGACATACTGGTGGAAACATACGAAGTAAGGACTGGCCATTCCCACAGGGGCTTCGTGCTGGAGAGAGGGTATGGTTTGTGTCTGTAAAACTGGGAGAGGACGGAGAACATTAGAGGGCTTGGCCAGTAGGTGCAAGGCCCTGGGGTCCTTTCCTGGCACTTCAAAAAGCCAACCTGCCATACACACAAACTCTGGGAAAAGCCGGAGGAAGAGATGGAGTGGAGCGGAGCGGTCTGGAGAGCCGCAGGCAGCCTCAGACTTGTTAGAACTGAAAACCCACTTGGCTGACTTGTCCGCCGGTAACCTCATGGCACTGTCCCAGGAGTAAGTGACACATTGAATGAAAACACATGTGACACCCAGGACGTGCTCGGCAAGCTGTCCCTTAGACCTGTCTCACTAGGAAATGGTAATGACATCCAAGGACCTACTTCCTAGCCGGGTCCTCTGAGCCTGTTAGGCTCTGGGCTTTTTTTCTACGCTCCATCTCAGTGGGGCCTTGACACACTGAACCAGGTGTTGACTCGCTGGTTGCTCATTCTCCTTTTTCTGCTCCACTTACCCATGGCTGGGGTCGCAGGCTTGCACCGCCATCATGCCTCGCTCTTGGCTCCCTCTCAGCATCTGCTCCCGCCTTTGCCCGTGGCCTCTCACATCCTTTTCCTGTTAGTGGCAGAGTCAATGGCTGCAAGCCGTTGGGCACTTCTTTTGAGAAGTACATGGAGGGAATAGGAATAGATTAAAAGCAGTGTGTCAGTGACGGGTTTGTGGGGTCCTAGGTGAGCAGCAGGATTGGAGCTGTGCCCCTGCTGTCTTTAAGGAGAGTGTCCCAGTGTCCAGTTACCAGCAGGCAGGAACCCCCGCACACCTGAAGAGGAAGATCGCACAGCTGGGCATCAACATGCTTCTGAAGATGGTGAGCTTGGGGTCCCGGGCGTTGAGGTTCACTCACCACTTGAAAGTGCTGAGACCCATCTGGGTGCCAAGGCTCAGGTCACGAGCAGAGCCGGGAGCTGCAGGTGGAGAGCCTCCGCCTCCCGAGTTCTGGGATTGAAGGTGTGCGCCACCACACCTGCCCCAATTTTTAGTTAGTGTACATGAGTATGCCATGTGGTGTGTGTATGGGAGTCAAAGGACAGACAATTTGTAGGAGTCAGTTCTCTCTGTCCATCAGGTAGATAGATCCTGTGGGTCAAACTCTAGTGGTCAGGCTTGGTGGCAAGCACCTTTACGTACTGAACCATCTCTCTGGCCCCTTAATGGATTTTAAAAGCCACTCTTCAATCCTGGTGCGGGCAGTGGAAAAACGTGAGGCAGAGAGATGAGCTAGTCACGGCCACAGACCTCAGTGTGGAGTTAGGCTGGAGGGATGAGGCGAGGCCGGGGGGTGGGTACTGTTGGGCAGGGGCCCAGAGGCAAATAGGAGTTTCTTTTTTTCTCTTCTGAGGCAGGGTCTCATTTAGCCAGGACTGGGCTTGAACTCGCTATGTAGCCGATCCTACTTTCTCCACCTCCCAGATTCTGGGACTACAGGGCTGCGGCCCAAGTGTAATGCCTCACTGGGCCGATGTCGATTCTGTAATATATTTGGGCCCTCATCTCGGAAGCCCTCGGCGAGCTTTTCTATCTGGCGCCTGGACATCAAGATGAGTGGAGATGAGTAGCAGGCAGTGGCCTCATCAAGAGGCCTGTGTCTTCCTCCAGGCTGCAGCCGGGGTCTCAGTGGCACCTTTAGCCACCAGGGAATGCCTGCTCTGCGTGGTGACACACCTAGCTGTTAGAAACGGGCCTGGGATGTATCTGGTGTGTAAAAAAAAGGCTATGGATGCTCCCAAACACTTGGGGCATATAGGACGGACAGCACAATGCATTGGGAAGCCTGGGGAAGTGAGTGTAGGGGCATCCAGGGTTTGTTGCCTCCTGGCGGGGGTGGGGGAGTGTCAAGAGCTGAGGTGAGGTGGATGCCAGCGAGATGGGGAGGTTTGAAACTGCTGCTGTGGAGCGTGGAAGGGCTGCCCAGGGTATGGAAGCCAAGCTGTCAGACACTTCAGGCATGGGAGGCAGGCGTTTGAGCTGTGTGTGGTCTGCCCAGGTGGGGACAGGGCGGGACAGTTGGGGCAGCACCTTGAGCCTCTGCCCTTGTAATTCTAGCTCTCTAGTGGTGGAGGCAGGAGTATCTTTCAGACGTTGAGGGCCAGGCTGTGCCATAAAATTAAAACCCAAACCAAACAAAAGGAACCCAAACCAAGCCTCTGACTTGGCCAGATTCCTGTCTGGCGGTGGGGCCTTTGTGGGATGGCCACCTCTTCAGCTTGGCCCTGGCAGCCCGCTGTCCCCTAAAACTTTCTGCAGGGGCCCCGGTGGCCCTAGGGTGGCAGGGCTGGCCCAGACCTGACTAGTGCAGTCTCTTCCAGATATTTGTGGATAACTTCGTGCACGGAGACCTTCACCCCGGGAACATCCTGGTCCAGGGTGCTGATGGATTGTCCCCAAGCCTGGAGACTCACCAGCAGCAGGTGAACGTCAGCGACACACTGGTGGCTTCCACGGCACCTGCCCTGTGCCCACTGCGCCTGGTGCTGTTGGATGCTGGCATTGTGGCAGAGTTGCAGGCTTCAGACCTGAGGAATTTCCGGGCAGTTTTCCTGGCTGTAGCCCTGGGGCAGGTGAGACCAACTGGAGTTGGCCCTATTTATTGCTTTTGTGTGTGATGTGTGTGTGGGGTGCAGGTAAGCATAGGCACAGTGTGCAGGGATGGGTGGAGGACATGCTCAGGGCCCTGGGGAGGCGGCTCTGCCCTTTAGCCCTGCTTTCCAGGGACTGAACTCGGGCGGGGCCTCACTCAGGCTTATGCGGCAAGCACCCTTAGCCGCCGAGCTGCTCACTGGCTACACTAGCTTTTTGATCAAACAGTGAGTGTCTCTTTGCTGCAAAGGATAGGAAGGATCTGCAGCATAGAGAGCGTGGAGTCTGTGGTGTGGGGACATCAGTGGCTTCCCCCACACACTCTGGGGCTTCAATTATAGAGAACGCCAACTTTGGCAGTCCAAACGAAGTGGACGGACTGTGTTACGTGGGGTCCAGATGAGGCCTCATAGAAAAGAGGATAGGACGACTCTTGTGACTGCACGGGGAGAGGGGTCTCCTGTGACAAATGCTGAAAAGGGGCCTTTTTATTTGCTTGTTTTTTTGAAACAGGGTCTCAGGGTCTCATTTTATAGCCCTGGCTGGCATGGAAATTGCTATGTAGGCTAGCAGGCTGGTCTGGAAGTCACAGAGACTTCTGCCTCTGCCTCCCGGGTGCTGGGATTAAAGACGTGCAACGCCCGCCCACCCTGAGATGCCGCCCTTGCTTAGCTTTTTGAAGGCGCTCGCTGACGATAGCTGTGGCCTGAACCCAGGGTGAGGTGTGCCACCTGCTTAAACACGGGGATGCAGTGTAGGCGGGGGCCATCTTCCTCTGTCCAGATTGGTGTGAGGGACAAGAGTCACAGCCACGGCAGGGAGAGCTTGGTTGTTGCAGCCACACTGTGGGAGGTGAGGGAGGGAGGGGCTGAGTGCCCCTGGAGACTGTGGGCACTTTGATTGGAGGGGTCTCATGGGCCAGAGAAAAGGCTTCATCACAGGCACTGGGACAGCTCAGCCCCTCCAGCCTAGCTTACCGGAACTTAAGCATCAGAACTCTTTCCTGACTGGAAGTAACCGGTGTGGCCCGGGCGGGGCTGCTGGCTGCCAGTCTTCGGCCTGCTAGCCAGCCCCTAGCGGATAGTAGCCGCTGCAAAGCCACAAGAACGGGGTGGTAGAAAAAGCAGGCGAGAGCACGCGGGGTCTCGCTCTGTCCCAGCAAGCCACTCTTCCGTGCGCCTTCCAGGGTCACAAAGTAGCCGAGCTCATCCTGCACCATGCCCGGGCCAATGAGTGCGAGGATGTGGAGAGGTTCAAAGCTGAGATGGCTACCCTGGTGACCCAGGCCAGGAAGAACACCCTCACACTGGAGAAGGTAGGCAGGCACCGCGGGCATTGGCACAGCTGCGCTTAGTGGAGTGCCCTCTTTGTGGGAAGCTCGCAGAGAGCAGGTATTTTGGGGTTGGCCTCGAGACAGGTCTGTGTATCCCGGGCTGTCCTGGGATTCACTCTGTAGACCAGGCTGGCCTGGAACTCGTAGGTCCGCCTGCCTCTGCCTCCCAAGTACTGGGATGAAAGGCGTGGACCACCACCACCTGGCAGGTTTTAAGGCAGGTTAAAAAAAAGAATCTTTCCTTGTTCTCACATCTTGAGAAACTCAAAGGGCCGACTGACATCACAGGCTCCTTGCTGGCAGAGCCCCTGCTTTAATTAGCAGGGTTGCAGCTGCAGCATGCAGGGGAGGCAGCATCCCAGAGATGTCCCTTGTGTGGCCTGACCCAGAGCCCATGGTGCACTCAGCCTCTGCTAATGCGCCTGTCTGTGTCAAGTTGATGGCCTACATTAGCGGGACTGGCCATGCAGAGTGACTGACTGGTTTTATGCAGACGATCAGGGATCTCACGCACACACCCAGGCGTGGAGTTGCGCCTGCACCAGGCAAGCCTCTGTGTGCTGTTGAGCTACGCCCTAGTCTTTACTTGGGAACAAGTAAGGAGGATGGGGTGGACGTGGCCCTGTGGCTTCTGGTGCAGGCATCTGTGACCTGTATGGGGGTGGGCCTGTATTGTCAAAGGCCTTTTGAGTGTGAGCAGGGGCCAGTGGAGCAGTGGGAAGGGCAGGGCCCTGAAGGGGAAGAAACGCTCCTGGGATTCCACTGGGTTTTTCTGTTTTCCAGCTTCACGTTTCCAGCCTCCTCTCCAGTGTTTTTAAGCTTCTGATGACCCACAAGGTGAGATGCCGTTAGTGTTGGGAAGGGGTGGGTAGGACGCAGGGCAGTGCAGTGGGTAGGCCTGCTTTTCCGAAGCTGCTTTTGCATATCGATTGTAGATTTCTAATCTCGTGACGCAGGCCCAGTGGGTTCGTGGATCTGTCAGTCTGTGTAGTCAGTGCTGTTACCCTTACATAGAGAAAAATGTATTTAAAGACTTGGAAAGGGGTCCAGCCAGACAGCCAGATGTCCCCTGCCTTGCTGTCCCTGGCTTGTGTTAGTGGTGCTTAGGTGGGGTGCCACCAGGAGCCCCAGTGTATCCCCCCGACTGGGGAGAGGGTAGGTAGTACACAGTAGAATCTCATGGGCAGCACAGGAGAGGTCAGGGGTCAGTGACATGGTTGTCCAGGATGCTCAGCTGAATCCCGAGGCCAGGGGAGAACTGCTGTTTTCTGTTCCAGGTAAAGCTCGAGAGCAACTTTGCCTCCATTGTGTTCGCCATCATGGTGCTGGAGGGGCTCGGCCGCTCGCTGGACCCCAAGCTGGACGTCCTGGAGGCAGCAAAGCCCTTTCTCCTCCAAGGGGGAGGGTTCCTGTGACTATGGCGGCGGGCACACGGCGAAGGCAGGTCCTCAGGTCCGTCCTTTGGCAGCTGTGACGTCTAAAGATGGGTTGTGTGGCAGAAACACCCGGAGACCTAGCTTCAGGATCTGTTGAAGAAACTTTGGGTTATTTAGGGTTAAAGGGAGGGAAGCTAGAACTGGTGCCAGAGAGACCATTCCAGGACAAATGTCCTGCAGAAGACGACAAAATACACATACTTATTTTGTTTTTCTGTGTTCCTCCCCACTTAAAAAAAGTGTGTGTGCGTGAGCGTATGCGTGCGCGCAGATGCCAACCGAGGTCCGGAGGGCATTGAATAACCCTCTGTAGTTTTAGGCAGTTGTGGGCATGGGTGTTGGGAACTGAACTTGGGACCTCTGGAAGAGAAGGAAGTGCTCCTAACCACTGAGCTCAGGGCCCTTCTTTCTTTCATTTTAAAATTACCCTTACTTGTGTAAGAGGGAGGGCTGTGGGGGAGTGTGACGGTCAGCTCACGCGCTACAGCATCTGTGTGTGGGTGTACGTGCACGCGCACCCGTGTGCATAGATCTTAGAGCCACAGGGTTTCTAGGGATTGGACTAAGTGCAAGCTGTCCTCAAGCACCTTTGCTGGCCTGCTTTTCTTAACTCTACTCTCTGGTTAGGTGGTTCCTGTTGGTGGCCTCACCTTTGACATAGGTTAGAAAATGACACGAAACCCTGTAGACATCTAAAATTTCTTTTTGGTTTTGAAAATGATGTTTACAGCTGGGTGGTGCACACCTTTAATTCCTGTGATTGGGAGACAGAGGCAGACAGATCTCAGAGTGAGTCCAGGACAGCCAAGACTACACAGGGAAACCCTGTTTTATCCCTGCCCACTCCCCCCAAGAAGAAATAAGTAAAAAGGAAAATGATGTATACATTTGGAAAAAGAAGTTGAAGCTTCACATACAGACACACACACCTTCCACACAACTCATTTTTAAATTTTATATGGGCACTGTCAATAGTGGGAAACTTTTGAAGGCACAGTTTGCAATTTGGGCACATTTTATCAGGTTATCTTCTTGACAATTTTTAACATTTGCCAATTTCTTCCATAACTTATTTTCCCAAGTTTAGAATAAAATAGTGAGGTGGACAGTGGTGACGCACACCTTCAGTCCCAGTGCTTGGGGGCAGGCGTGTATAGGGAGGTTTTCTCCGTCTTCCTCCGTCGATCTTGGTCCCTCTGGACCACCTGGTCCCACAGCCGCTTAATGAAATAACCACTCTGAGACTTAGTATCAGTCACAATGGTTTGGCCAATGGCTCAGGCTTCTTACTGGCTAGCTCTCTCTTAATTATTAACCCATTTCTATCAATCCCTGGCCTCTTAACTCCGCAGCTGCCACACTGCACTGCGTCTCTCCTTTGTTTTTCTTTCCCCTGCCTCTTGTTCACAATTTCTGCCGAGCTAAGCTCTGCCTTTCCATTGGCCAAAACAGCTTTATTCATCAACCAATAAGAGCAACACATATTTGCAGCGTACAGAAGGACCTGCCACATATCAGCAGGTATCTGAGGCCAGCCCGGCCTACAGAGTGAGTTCCAGGGCATCCAAGACTACACAGAGAAACCCTCCTGTCTTGAAAAAAAACTAAAACACCCCCTTCCAAAACAACAACAACAATAAAACCCCAAAACAAAAAGCAACTCCCCTCAAAAAACAAACAAGAAACCAAAACTAACAAAAAAAAAAAAAAAAAAAAACAACAACAACAAAAAACAAAAAAAACAAAAAAACAAAAAAACCAGAGGCTTGTGGTATAGCTCAGTGGTTGAGGCTTACCTACCACATATGTGGTTCTAGGTTCAATCCTCAGCAACCCCCACCCCCCTAAGGGATGGCTGAAGAGCCAACAACTTCCTTTCTTTTTTGTCGGGGAGGGGATGTAGCAAGCCTTTAGGAAGTGAGATTAACTGGAAGTTATATTACCTGTTTTCCCCCCTCAAACACCCCCACAATACTTTTCATACCAGGAAAGGAGAAGGTAAAGAGGGAATAAATTTTTCCTGAAAAGCAGGGATGAGCCTGAGAGCATCTTAAAGGCCTTGTGCAGATGAAGGGCTTTGGTGCCTTGTTCTGGGTCACAAGGTTGATATAGCTGGGGTTTGGACTCCAGATTTCAGCCTCCCGATTTCTAAGCTCTTTTAGAATTTGTTTTCACTGTGTGTGTGATGTGTGTATGTGAGTGTGGAGATCAGAGGATAATGTCAGGAGTGGGTTCTTCCCGTGTTCTGAGGAGGACCCAGCCCAGGTCACCAGGCATGGTCAACCCATTTCCACAGGGAGCATCTCACTGGCCCTCTATGGCCTTCTAGAAATGTAAGCTGTGCTTGTTCTGGGGCCTTGCCTAGAGCTAGACAGCTGTATAGTTTGGGAAGTGAGCTTTCCAGAAAGGCCTGGCAACTTCTGCCCTTTCCATTCACGGACTGGGGTCTCTTCATGTTTGTACACATTGTTAGGAGTGGAAGACGGTAGCCCACAGAAAACCATGCCATCGAATATAAACTAGAAAGTCTTCCAAAGAGAGAATTCTGCAGGTTCGGGGTTCAACCCAAGGCTCGTCTTCGTTTAGCAGACACAGTTTGCCGCTCAAAAGCTAGCATTGGGGAGTCAAGAGTTAGTGGGAAAGAGTGGGGTTTAGAGCATGCTGGGGCCATTTTCTTCAAAGCTTCAGCTTTGGGGAGCTTATCCAGGGTGTGGTCTCCGTTTCTTCCCTGTGGAGACCACCCCAGTCAGTCAACTTCCTGATTAGTTCCTGTGTTTTCTTAAAGAGAGCGAGAGAGCGCTTATATGTACAGGCATGTGAGTGAGTACAGGCACCCATGGAGGCCAGAAGTGGGTATTATCCCTTGGAGCTGGAGTTACCTGTGGCTGTGAGCCATGTGATGTGGGTGCTGAGAACTGAAATCAGATCCCCAGGGAAAGCAGAACAGGCTCATAAGCACTGAGCCATCTCTCCAGCTCTCCTGGATTTTCTTAATACAGCTTATCATCTACAAGTTAAACCCCATAGCAATTTGCACGGTTTGTTTGGTTTATGCACAGAACTAAAACTAAGGAAGGGCACTGACTACTCCTGATGTTCTAGGCTCCTTAAAGCTAAAGAAATACTATTTATATTTGGTAAAGCCAGTGAGGTAGCTTAGCTGGTTCAGTGAGTAAAGGTATGTGCTGCCAAGCCTGCTAGCCCTAGTTCAGTCTCGGGGACCTACCTGACGAAGGAGAACCAGCTTCTGTGGGTTTCCCCTGACCATGTGTGTACCGTGGCTTATTCATACTCATATACACAACAACACACATAGAAATAATAATGTAAGCCTGGGTCCCACATGGTGGAAGAGAATCACCTCCTGAAAGTTGTCCTCTGACCTCCACATGCATGCCACGGTACATGTGTACCCCACACATGACAATACACACACACACACACAATAAGTGATAAAATTTTTTTAGCATACCTCTTTATGTCCTCAGTAGGTCTTGCTTGATTGCCACCCAATATTTGGAGGCTTGGTGGGAAGAAGTCAGGTTTATTCAGGGTCTTGCAATTATGAGTTCTGTTTGGATTTAACTCCTAGGACAGGTTTCTTGTTACATAAAAGGGCAAAGAGCCCCATATGTTGGCACAGAAAGCAAGTTATTAATCATATACAATCCTGTCATGTCACTAAATTCAGTGACACGGTCTATCCTTGGTAAGTATCTATCACATACTTGACTATTTTTTTTTTCTATTTTTTAAGTCAGGGTTTCTCTGTGTAGCTCTGTAGACCAGGCTGGCCTCGAACTCACAGAGATGTGGCTGCCTCTGCCTCCCGAGTGCTGGGATTAAAGCTTGTACCACCACCCAGCCCCATACGTGACTCTTGAATATGGCTGGAACACCACAGTGATTCTCCAAAGTGTTATTTTGGCAGGCTAATGTTACAACTTAAAACTGCTGTTCTGCAAACAAGGGGAGAGACCTTGCTGGAAACAATATTCTCAGTATCAGAAAAACCAAAGCCAGAAAACAAAACAAAGCCAGAAACCCTATAAAACAAACAAACAAACAAACAAAAACGCCCAAACCAAAAACAGCCCACTAGAACATATCAACAGTAACCCTGCAAGGCAATGTCTTTTTGTAACCTAAACTGGCCTTGCATGCACCCTAGGGCAGGTGATGTCTGTGTCTCATCCCAGGGGGGAGAGGTCAATCTCACAGTCTGCCATGGTTGGATAATTCCCAAGAGCTGCAAAGAAAGGAGAGACCGGGTCAGTAGCTGTTATCAAGTTCCCAGGATGAAGGGCCTTTGTGTAAACAGAGGTTTCCAGGTGATTGAGTATTACAAGGTGGAGATTTTTGGCATATTGGCCCTTTGTGTGCTAGCCACCTTTTATAGAAAACAAAACAACAAACCCGGTTTCTCACAGCCTCACCAATGTGGGGGTGAATCAGAGGACTGGAGTCTACCCGGGCGTGAGCAAGGGCGATGCAGGCAGGGGCAGGAGTATTATTTTGTAACAGCAAATGGAGCCTTTCTTTCTTGACGGAAGTCTAGAGTGAAAGAAAAAGTTAACGTTGTTTGGAACGGTGACTGCAGACCGTCCTGTCAGACTTAGTGAAGCATGCAGGGTTGGGCTCCTCGCGTGCTGCTGCAGCCAGCGCCAGTGGTGTGCGCGCCGGGACCCAGCACCGGGGCTGCACGCATGCATGCGTGCATGCATGCCCGCCCGCCCGCCGGGGTCACAGGCGGCAGCGTGGCTCAGAAAGGGCCGGCTCAGGCCTCCCGCGCGGGGCCCACGGCGGGCAAGAACCCGCACGCGGGGAGCCAGCGCACGGAGCAGCGGCCAGGCCAGCCCAGCGCGAGCCGGCCAGGGCTCCGCCGCGTGTCCCTGGCGGCGCTCCGTCGGCCTGCGCCGTGACGTCACGGGGCGGGGCTCGGGGACGCGACGCACCCGGTGGCGGAGGCGGAGGTCGCTCGCTCGGTCCCGGCTCGCGGCGGGCATGTCTGCGCTGACCCGGCTGGCTCCTCTCGGCCGCGTGGGCGGCCGCCTGCTGCGGGGCTGCCGCGCGCGGGCGGCTGGCGACGGCGGAGTCCGCCGGTGAGTGCCGGGCGGGCGGGCGGGCGGGCGCGGGCGGGCGGGCGGCTCCCACGGCCGGGGCCGCCGTCTCCTTGAGGCCGACGCGGGCAGCCGCATGCGCACTCCGCCGCCCCGCCCGCCCCGCCCCGCCCCGCCCCGCCCGCGGGCACGGCGTGCGGGGTTAGGTGCGTAGGGTGTACACAGTGGGGACCTGTTATGTGCGCCGTGAGCACGCTGCCTGCCTCTGCCTCCCCAGTGCTGGGATCCCTGTTTAACGTCCGTCTTTAAACCCCGTATGGGATGCCGTTTCTTACTCATTCTGCCTTCTGCACCGGAGACTTGTAAAACGCATAGAAAGTCTTACTTATTTTGTTGTATTGAACTTTTTTTGTTTTCTTCCTTTTATTTTATTTTATTTTATTTTTTTTTGGCTGACCTCTGTATCACTGCAGGTGTTGAGAGTTCTTTTGAGGTCTTAATTCTCTAATCCTCTTGAGGGAGGATGCCTCAAATTCAAGCTCACGCTAAATCCTTAGCTTGGATTCCCCTCACCTCCCGATTAGGGAGCTGAGAGTCCCCACCCAGCCCTCGGCTTGGGTTTTTGAGCAACACAGGCCCAACCCAGGTAGAGTTTGTGTGCACACCGACCTGAGGGTCTGAGATTGGCCTCTGGTGACATTCCCGTTTCTTTCCCGAGTGTTTATTGCTCTTTCACCTTGACTCAGAGGTCCAATGGTGAGACCACGTGTCTTGGGTGGGAGCCTCAGTCTCCTAGCTGTCTGTCTGCCTGGACTCCCGGAGAATGCCAGCTTCAGTAATTGGTTCCCAGGCATTTCTGCTTGCAAGCAGATCTCTTGAGTTTGAGGACAGTCTGGTCTGCAGAGCGAGTTCCAGGACAGCAGCGCTACACGGAGAAACCCAGTCTCGATAAACAAACGGAACAAAAAGTATTATGTGCCACAATTTGCCAATAAGTGCCTAAGTGAGTCCCCCACACCCTGTTGGTTATTTTATATTCGGATTTACCGTTGCAGGTTTTTGGCTTTGTTTGAGTTATTAGAGTTTTAAAAAGGATTTTCTCAAATTCACGTTTCCACATGGTGGTTTGTCTTGCAGCCCAGGCTGACTTTAATCTCTGTTTGTACATGATGTTGAACTGATCTCCCTGCCCCTAATCCCCAAGTGCTAGATGACAGGCCTGTGCTGAGGTGCTTGGCCTCTGTGTGATCACCTTTGGATAAAGATTGCACTAGAGCCTAGGATGAAGTACATCACTAAATGGAGCAGGACTTCTCATTTCCTTTTGGGGGTAGGGTAAATTAGTGGCCTACTGCTACTTGAGGTTCACAGCCCTTCATACAGACCTTTTGGGTGGCACCCGTAGTCATCAGTTTCTGGTGTCTCATGGTAACTGCCCACGTGTCAACTCAGCCAGTGTCCCTGCTTGCCGTGTTTAAAGCAAGCTACACGGAAAGGCAGTTTGAGGGGCAGGAGCTGGTCAGTCTGTTCCCTGGTGTGGGTGAGAAGTGCTAGCTTCAGTTTAAAAGATGCAGCTGCAGTCGTGGATGACTCTGCTCTGGACACTTCAAAAGTCATTTTTCCCCTTGCTCTTTCTCCTAGTGCTAGCGGTGGCGTGCACATTCCCCCCAAGTACAGGGAGTTTCCCCAGCTTACCCGAAATCAGGTGATCCAGGGTGAGTTCTTAAGCTCACTCATGTGGTTCTGGATTCTTTGGCGCTTTTGGCATGACTCGGACGCTGTGCTGGTAAGTTCTGGAGAATGGTGCTAGTCCTGATTTGAGAGCTGGGGAGGGAGATGGTATGGCTAGCTAGCTTAGGATGCTCCGCTTCTGTCCTCCCTGAACCCTGTGCCCTTGCTTCTCAGGCCACGGAGCTGCTTGGGCTGCACGTTTCCTGCTGGAAGCAGCTGTATTTTACTGTCATCAGGGTTATTAGGCTGTAGGTAGATGATGATACTGCACCCAGGTGTCTCCAGACTGCCTCCACTTGAGGCTCCCAAATCTGACAGTAGTAGTAAAGGGTTTTTAAGCAATTTTGTTTATAACCAGGACTGTGAGGTTTTGATAAGGAGTTACATGGGATCTGTGGCCTCCCCTCCTTCCCACTCCTCATCCTAAACATACTCCATGGCTTCGGCTGCCACCTTAGAAGTTTCAGGCCACTGCGTGTAATGAGCAGATTGACGTAAGCTGAGCCAGTGAAGGTTAAGGAACAATCCGTCTCCTGGGTGGCTGTAGTAACCACCGCTCTGTTTATTATTTCGGAATTTATGTTGGAACTTAGTCTGCTGCATTTATCAGCACAGACTCTTGACTTTGTTTCCTTTTCACTGGTTGTCACCAGGGCCACTTTTCATACCCAGATCCTTCGCAGTGGACAGATGAAGAACTGGGCATCCCTCCTGATGATGAGGACTGAAAAAGTGTAAGCTCAAGTCTGTGCAAGCAGGTATGCTTTTCTCTTGAAAAGGGTATTCAGTCAGAGCTCAAAAAAAAAAAAAAAAAAAAAAAAAAGCCAGTTGAATAATAGGATAAATAAGATCATGGATTTAGATTAATAAATGTAAGAGTTTTAAAATTTACCTATTTTCTTTTCCTACAGGAGCAAGGTGAGAAGTTTCAAGAAATTACAGCCTTCATATTTAAAGTTGCAAATAAAGTGGTTTGCAAGAATGAGTAACTGAGTTATTATTCTGTCCTTTATTCTATTCCCTGCTTGTTGGGCTAAGTGGTTTGTGCTTTCAGCTAATTCTCTTTAGTCCTCTATGAAGTGGGTAGGTGTTATCTGTTTGAGGCTATGAAGGACAAGATAGTGTCTTGCTCAGCATCATACACCGGTGAGTGGTAGGCTGTGTCCGCTCAGCATCATACACCGGTGAGTGGTAGGCTGTGTCCGCTCAGCATCATACACCGGTGAGTGGTAGGCTGTGTCCGCTCAGCATCATACACCGGTGAGTGGTAGGCTGTGTCCGCTCAGCATCATACACCGGTGAGTGGTAGGCTGTGTCCGCTCAGCATCACACACCGGTGAGTGGTAGGCTGTGTCCGCTCAGCATCATACACCGGTGAGTGGTAGGCTGTGTCCGCTCAGCATCATACACCGGTGAGTGGTAGGCTGTGTCCGCTCAGCATCATACACCGGTGAGTGGTAGGCTGTGTCCGCTCAGCATCATACACCGGTGAGTGGTAGGCTGTGTCCGCTCAGCATCATACACCGGTGAGTGGTAGGCTGTGTCCGCTCAGCATCACACACCGGTGAGTGGTAGGCTGTGTCCGCTCAGCATCATACACCGGTGAGTGGTAGGGTATGTCCGCTCAGCATCATACACCGGTGAGTGGTAGGCTGTGTCCGCTCAGCATCATACACCGGTGAGTGGTAGGCTGTGTCCGCTCAGCATCATACACCGGTGAGTGGTAGGCTGTGTCCGCTCAGCATCATACACCGGTGAGTGGTAGGCTGTGTCCGCTCAGCATCACACACCGGTGAGTGGTAGGCTGTGTCCGCTCAGCATCATACACCGGTGAGTGGTAGGGTATGTCCGCTCAGCATCATACACCGGTGAGTGGTAGGCTGTGTCCGCTCAGCATCATACACCGGTGAGTGGTAGGCTGTGTCCGCTCAGCATCATACACCGGTGAGTGGTAGGCTGTGTCCGCTCAGCATCATACACCGGTGAGTGGTAGGCTGTGTCCGCTCAGCATCATACACCGGTGAGTGGTAGGCTGTGTCCGCTCAGCATCACACACCGGTGAGTGGTAGGCTGTGTCCGCTCAGCATCACACACCGGTGAGTGGTAGGCTGTGTCCGCTCAGCATCACACACCGGTGAGTGGTAGGCTGTGTCCGCTCAGCATCATACACCGGTGAGTGGTAGGCTGTGTCCGCTCCGGCTTATGCGTTAACTCACACGTACCATGTCTCCTCCTTGGCTCATGCCTTAGTTGCACGTGTATTGACAGGTGGTGTGAGCATATAGCTGTTGCAGCTTGGTTGTTGTTGCAGAGGTTAGGGATCAGCAGAGTCCATTGTTTCCAGATCTCCTGCAGGACTCACAAACCACGCCCGACTAGGAGTTTCTTAGGACAGGCATAAGATTTTCTACTTTTCCAAAATTTTGTTCCAGGCTATCCCACTTCTGTGGCACTGGAGCAGGCACGAGGCCAGAGTTCCCTGCACCTAGAGAAAAGTCTCCTGTAACACAGCCTGAGGACTTTGTTCTTGGGAGTACAGGGACAAGAGGGAGGTATTGGGAGCTACACACCCGTAACCCTAGTGTTGAGAGTAAGAGCAGGGGACTGTAAGTCACACACCCGTAACCCTAGTGTTGAGAGTAAGAGCAGGGGACTAAGTCACACACCCGTAACCCTAGTGTTGAGAGTAAGAGCAGGGGACTGTAAGTCACACACCCGTAACCCTAGTGTTGAGAGTAAGAGCAGGGGACTAAGTCACACACCCGTAACCCTAGTGTTGAGAGTAAGAGCAGGGGACTGTAAGTCACACACCCGTAACCCTAGTGTTGAGAGTAAGAGCAGGGGACTAAGTCACACACCCGTAACCCTAGTGTTGAGAGTTGGAGACAGCGTGGATACAGAGTGAGAACTATCTTAAAATCATAGACAAAAGGACTTTAAGAAGGAATGACAGACAGGTGGTAAGTCGGTACTCATGGCAGAGATTTGCTCAGAGCTGTGGAAGAAGTGCAGGTTGTTTTGTTTTTTTGAGATGGGGTTTCTCTGTGTAACAGCCCTGATGTCCTGAACTCATCTGTAGACCAGGCTGGCCTTGACCTGACTCGCCTCTGCCTCCTGCGTGCTGGGATTAAAGGACTGAGCCACCACTACTTTGCCAAAACTATGCTCTACAACAAGCTGGCTCTTCTGCTCCCCCCACCCCCATCATGCCACCTGCAGGATACAAGTGTGTCCTGTCCAGGAAATGTCAGTAGTCCCCGTTTTCTGCTGTCTTCAGTGACTTACCTAGTAGGTAAAGACAGCAAGTGCAATTATCTGGTGAGCATCCTTGTCTAAGTGAATTCACTGTGGGAGTTAACACCCACTTCCCTTTAGGGTCAGCACAGCCATTGTGTACTGACCTGGGTTCTGGCTGCACAGACTCAGTGAGGCAAGTCCTTCAGATCATGGGTTGGGAGGTCTCTTAGTATATGACACTAATTTTTTGAGCCTGGGGGATTAGATATAACCCAGACAGTAACATAGTGACCATAGCCCTTTCAGAAGAGGTGGCTTGGGAAAGCTTTGTAAAAGCATTTTGAAATATAAGTAAAACATCCATAATTCCAGGACACATTTTATGGAAAACTTTCATGTGTGATACAGTTGGAAAGTAAAGCAGCAATAACTTGTAATCAGGAATGGTTATTTAGAAAACAATATAACTTTTTTCTTCAGTTGACAAAATTATAGTCCAGAGAAAGCTAAGTCCTCAGAGCATCTTTAGGTTAGACAGGTGCTCAGGGTAGAAAGGTCAGAAACCTCTCATAAAGCCTACATTCATACTGTCCTTAGAGGGTTTTCAGGGGTGGCGTTTTAAAGCCATCATCTTTTTTTTTTTTTTTTTTTTTTTTTCCTGGAGACTATATGGTAGTTTGATATATATTTTGTCTGAAGGTATTTCAGTTGTTTTTCAAAATAAAGGAGATTGTGAAATTAGAAGCACAAGCCAACCCATCTAGGAAACCACTGAAACTGAGTTCAGTGTCATGTGTCTGTTGACAGAATCTGTCACTGTAGAAACTGGATGACAGAAAGTTGTGTCACATTTTTTTGTTTTGTTTCTGAGATGATTTGTACACATCAATTTGTATTTGTGTGTGTGTCTGTTTTGGAGACAGGGCTTCTCTGTGCAGCCCTGGCTGTCCTTGAACTCAGCAATCTGCCTACCTCTGCCTCCCAAGTGATGAGATCAAAGGTATGTGCCGCCACCACCACTTAAAATCTTAAATTATACTTTCAGATATGTAGTTACACAGAGAACAGTCACTTTAAGCCAGAGAAGCAGAAGGTCTCACAACATTGTCAAATATTGAGGGTCATGACCAAAATTTAACAAAAAGACGTATTACCAATTGGCTAGACCATGCAGGAGTCTGGCCAACTAACTTACACCCATCAGAAGGATCAATATTTTGAAAATATATTGTAGCCTGGCCTATCAGTAGCCAGTGATGATTACTACTGAATGTGAACGCTAGAAAAATAACCTTACGGTTTCTCCATGCAGCCAGTCTTTATTATGGCAGTATTCACATATGCACATCAATTACATAGCACTTTTTTTGGCCTTTTTTTTTTATAATACATAATTTTTAAATAACTTTACACAAATAAATTTCTTCAATTTGATTTTCAGCTATCTTTTATTTAATTCTCCATGCTTTCTATCCAAACTGAACAATATTTTCCATTATACAAATTTACATGAGAAAAACTCCAAAGTACAAATGAAGGGACCTGAGCAGGAAATAACTAAAGTAATAGGAAGTGGGTATAGAGAAAGGAAAAAAAAATTCAAGCAAACATTGAGGAGTAAGGGGTAAAAGGGAGACATCATCCATCTGATTGAAAATAAATGTCTTTTTCTTGTGAATTGAAAAATAAGCTTTAAAAATAGTTACTCCATTATAATTTTTGCAAAGCAGGTATAGAGAGGTCTGTGGATAATGAAAAAGTCCCCGCCTTTTCACTGGGCACACCCCAGACTTCAGAGAACCTTTTCAATGCTTGAGTGGAACCGAAGTGATGACAGGAACCCAAACCTTTGGCAGTTGCAGACGAGGAGGGGTGTGAGGTGCCACAGGTTTGGGTGGTGAAACAGGAGCCGTGACTCACCGCGGTTCATGCAGCACCTCCCTCTCTCCCTTATTGGAGACTTGTCCTCAGACCAATGACTGTTTAGGGTGAGGCTTGGTAGATGACTAGGGTTGTCTCCTTTCTTTTTCCCGGTCTATGGTCACAGAGTGGTCTATTTCATAGACTCCCAGGGAGGATGAATGATGAAGTCATCCCCGATGAGTTAGCTGCTTGACTACCTCAGGAGAGGCAAGTGTTGTAGAAGCAACAAAGGGGTTACCATCAATTCTGCTACTGGGACACCTTGAAATAAGGTGACGTGGAAACCAAACCAACGCTCTATTGTGGAACGACAAAGGAAATGACCCAAAATGTTTCTAAATAAAGGAAGAGTAGTACAGCACACACACACACATACCTGGTATGTAAACGAACACCACATGAAGATAAATAAGACATCAAGGTTAGCCACATATTGGTAGTTAACACAAATAAAAAGGCGTAGGTTCACAAGGCTGGTTTTAGTCAGCAATGGAACGTAAAGTATTAATGTATTAGAAAGGAATGATTTAAAAAGTTCACAGCTTAGATAAGAAGCACACTTATTGCACTCTGACACTGTATTTCAGGTGACTATCTAGTTCATCTCCCCCACCTTTAGTTTTTCCCTAAGTCCCAGATTTACGTGTCACCCTGCCTTATTTTGGTCCATTTTCTTCCATTTGTGCCTAGTCTGAGAGCTTTGTTTGCTTATGCCAGTTTGCAGTTTCTTCCTAAGTAACTCACAGCCCAGCCAAACACGCATGGCTTCAAAAGTCTTAAAACAACAGTGATTTACAAGGCAAAAATAGGACTAAGTAACTCGTT